CCAAACCTCAAAGCCCCTGGTGCTGACATGTTTGGCTTTCCCCCAGCCACAGGACACCGTGCTGTTTGTGCCTTCTGCTGAGATCAACCTCATCTCCCACCCCCTGCGGGGCACAGGAACTCATAGATATAATTAAGCAGACAAGTTGACTGCTGGACACACTTGTTAATTTCATGGTTTGCTCAAAGCTGATAAATCCTAGTTTTTCGTCCTTGAACTTAGGGGCTTTGTAGAGCCTTTGGAGGGATGAGGTCTCTAACCACGGGTCCACATTTTGTGAGCAACCAAATTCCACTGATTGTTAAGATGTGCAACAGCTTTTTTTTTAGTTTTGAAATAACTGCGGCTCAGGGCTCCACCCTGACCAGGAGCAAGTGAGCAGCCAGAGATGCACGTCTGATCAAGACAGTTTGAGTGTTTTCTGGGGGAAGAAATAAGGGCCTAAGCCTGAGGGCCAGAGCAGTGGTGGGTGCTACAAGAGAAAGCCAGGAGGCTGAAGAAAAGTGTTTCTGTGTTGTGGCATTCAAAAGTGGAACACTGAATATTCCCTGCAAGGGTAAACTTCTGTGTGATATTGAAATGTAAGGTTTAATAAAGGTGAGCAAAAAAAACCTAAACTGAAGATTCTGGTTAGTAGACTGCATCCTGTAAACACTACATTTGAGAAAATTCTCATGTGAGGGGGACCTCTGACATAAGAGGTCTCTGATATGGGGAGGATTCTGATGTGTAGGGGGTTCTGATGTGATGGGGAACCTCTGGTGTGATGGGGGACCTAAGATGTGATGGGGGACCTCTGATGTGAAGGGGGATTCTGATGTATAGGGAGGCTCTGATTTGATGGGGAACCTCTGATGTGAAGGGAGCTCTTGGATGTGATGGGGGGCCAGTGATGTGATAGGGAACCTCTGATGTGATGGGAAACCACTGGTGTGAAGATGGGGCCTTTGACTGAAGATGGATTCTGAAGTGTAAGGGGGGCTCTGATGTGATGGGGAACCTCTGATGTGATGGGGAACCTCTGATGTGAAGGGGGACCACTGGTGTGAAGGGGGACCTCTGATGTGAAGGGGGATTCTGATGTATAAGGGGGCTCTGATTTGATGGTGAACCTCTGATGTGAAGGGAGGTCTTGGATGTGATGGGAGACTTCTGATGTGATGGGGAACCTTTGATGTGATGGGGGGAACCTCTGACATGATGGGGAACCTCCGGTGTGAAGGGGAGCCTCTGATGTGAAGGGATATTCTGATGTGTAGAGGGGGTTCTGATGTGATGGGGAACCACTGGTGTGAAGGGGACCTCAGATGTGATGGGGGGGCCTCTGATGTGAAGAGGGGATTCTGATATATAGGGGGATCTTATTTGATGGGGAACCTCTGATGTGAAGGGAGGTCTTGGATGTGATGGGAGACTTCTGAAGTGATGGGCAACCTCTGATGTGAAGGGAGGTCTCGGATGTGATGAGGGCCAGTGATGTGATGGGGAACCTCTGATGTGATGGGGAACCCCTGGTGTGAAGGGGGGATGCTTCTGATGTGAAGGGGATTCTGATGTGTAAGGGGGCTCTGATGTGATGGGGAACCTCTGATGTGATGGGGGGCCTCAGATGATGTGATTGTGATATTCTGATGTGTAAGGGGGGGCTCTGATGTGATGGGGAACCTCCGATGTAAGGGGGACCTAAGATGTGATGGGGGGACCTCTGATGTGAAGGGATATTCTGATGTGTAGAGGGGGTTCTGATGTGATGGGGAACCTCTGGTGTGAAGGGGGACCTCAGATGTGATGGGGGGGCCTCTGATGTGAAGGGGATTCTGATGTATAGGGGGGGCCTCTATTGATGGGGAGCCTTTGATGTGAAGGGGGGATTCTGATTAATGTGATGGGAGACATCAAGAAGTGATGGCCCCAGACTCTGATGTTCTTTGGGAGGTCTCGGATGTTGGGGGGCCAGTGATGTGCATTTTGAACCTCTGATGTGAGGTTGGAAATACAGGGGGCTTCTGATGTGAAGGGGGATTCTGATGTGTAAGGGCACATGATGTGATGGGAACCTCTGATGTGAAGGGGGACACTAAGATGTGATAGGGGGACCTCTGATGTGAAGGGATATTCTGATGTGTAGTCCGGGTGGGTCTGATGTGATGGGGAACCTCCGATGTTAAAGGGGGACACTTTCAGATGTGATGTCCGGAGGTTTCTTCCAGTGGTGTGAAGGGAGACAGCTTCTGATGTATAGGGGTGGGCTCTGATGTGAAGGGGAGCCTTTTGTTGTAAACTTTCCCCCCCTTAATGTCATCAAGACAGTTGTTTACATTGCAAGACTCCGGATTCTTTGGTTTTTCCCCCCCTTGCATTTTGAGATTTCCCCCCCCTTCGAGGTTGGGACACTTTATCCCCCCCTTTTTTTTTTCAACACTTTCCCCCCCCCCCCCCCCCCCCCCCCCCCTTCCAGTCCACATATTCCCCCCTTCCAGTCCGGACACTTCCCCCCCCCCCCCCCTTCCAGTCCGGACACTTCCCCCCCCCCCCTTCCAGTCCGGACACTTCCCCCCCCTTCCAGTCCGGACACTTCCCCCCCCCCTTCCAGTCCGGACACTTTCCCCCCCCCTTTTCCAGTCCGGACACTTCCCCCCCCCCCCCCAGTCCGGACACTTCACCCCCTTCCAGTCCGGACACTTTCCCCCCCCTTCCAGTCCAGGCCAATTTTCAGCTTTCAGCGCTATCACACTTTGAATGACAATTGCGCGGTCATGCAACACTGTACCCATATGAATTTTTTAGCATTTTTTTGAGACAGATAAAGCATTATTTTGGTGGTATTTATTCACCGCTGGGATTTTTATTTTTTTTGCTATAAAACATTAAAAAGTCCAAAAATTTTTAAAAGAAGTGTTTTTCTTATAAAATTTTGCAAATAAACAATATTTCATCATAAATCTTGGCCACAATTTATTCCGTTATCTTTTAGTAAAAAAAACAACAAAAAAAAACAAATTAGTTTATAACCAAAAATTATAATTTTTAAAAAAATTTTTTTTTTTTTTTTCATATTTTTTTTTTTTTTTTACATACTGTCACCCTAGCAGTACAGTGTCACCATGGTGACACTGTACTACTTGTGGGGGGTGATGAAGATTTTTTTTTTTTTTTTTTTACTGATTGCTTTTACACCCATAAAGGATGTAAAAGCAATCATTTCTCTTCTCTAGCTGCATTCTTGCAGCCATTGGGAACTACTGATGAGCTGTGATTGGTCGCATGTCACATGGTACAAGGCTGTGAATAGCCCTGTACCATGTGACCTCTGTGATCATTCACAGATTTCACACGTAGTAAGCAATGATGTCAGGAAGTAACATCTTGCTTACTACTATTCATGTGATCACGGATTGGCCAATCAGTGATCACATGATCGGGACCTCGCACAGAGGTCCCGTCCAACGATCGGTGTTCCACTGTGTTCAGAGGACACAGCGGGCACCGGATCGCGGTGCTGCATGCTCCCTGTTTATAAACAGCCACCCGCCCCTGCACTGCCACCGTCTGGCCGTTTATATACAACAGCCGAAACGGGAGGTGGTTAAGAAAATGAGGCAAAAATCTTTTGGAAAATTATTTATTTTCATTTTATTAATATGTTTCGCTTGCCCTTATTACAAAAAAAAAATAACGAAAAATAGTATCTTTGTTCTTCCGAGGTATTCATCTAGACTGCATATGTAAGTTGTTATCTTAGCTTCCTCCAAGCTTCACTTGTGAGTCTCAGCAGATTTTTGAACATTTCTTCACGTCTTCTATAACATAATATGCTAAATCCAATCATTAAAGTTCACACTGCAAAATCCTGACAAGGCAAACTGCAGTCTCTATTCATTCCAGTGGTAAGTTGGCATCAGAGGCGGACTGACAACTCATGGGGCCCCCGGGCAATAAGGGATCATGGGGCCCCTGTGTCCTTGCCCAAACTAAAAAAAGCCTATGAAAAAGGTACCAGGGGCATCTCATGGGGCCCCCTACTGACCCCGGGCCCTCGGGCAGTGCCCGTGTTTCCAAATGGTCAGTCCGCCCCTGGTTGGCATTTGCACATTTCAGTAGAGCAAGGACAGGTAAGTGTCTGTCCTGTCATGGGTGCAGAGGAGCCCATCTGATGTACTGTATTTTTCGCTCCATAAGACGCACTTTTTTCCCCCCAAAAAAGGAGAGAAAATGTCAGTGCGTCTTATGGAGCGAATATAGAGCGGCCGGTCCGGTATTTTCACCGCCGCCGTGTCAGAATACCGGGCCGGCCGCTCAGCTCTGCAGTGGGACCTTACCTGTCCCTCTATCCAGCGGCGCGCTGTCTTCCCGGCTTCTGTAGTGTTGGTGACAGCCGGGTCCCAAGTGCGCATGCACCAGAAGCGGTGCTCTTTGTGAATGGTAAGGCGGTACCTGGGACACATGACAGATCCCAGAAGCCGCCGGACCAATCACAAAGCGCAGCGCTTCTTGCGCATGCGCACTGGGCATCGGGCTGTCCGACGAGCGCCCACACTACAGAAGTCGGGTAGACAGCGCGCGGCTGGATAGAGGAACAGGTAAGATCAAAGAAAAACTCTCAATTTCAGGTACCCGCTCCCCCTCCCTCCCCAAAAGTCAGCAGTCATCTCCTGTACTGTCCGCAGTCACTGATCATCCCTGTACTGTCCGCAGTCTCTGGTCATCCCTGTACTGTCCGCAGTCTCTGGTCATCCCTGTACTGTCCGCAGTCTCTGGTCATCTCCTGTACTGTCCGCAGTCTCTGATCATCTCCTGTACTGTGTCCGCAGTCTCTGGTCATCTCCTGTACTGTCCGCAGTCTCTGGTCATCCCTGTACTGTCCGCAGTCTCTGGTCATCTCCTGTACTGTCCGCAGTCTCTGGTCATCCCTGTACTGTCCGCAGTCTCTGGTCATCTCCTGTACTATGTCCGCAGTCTCTGGTCATCTCCTGTACTGTGTCCGCAGTCTCTGGTCATCTCCTGTACTGTGTCCGCAGTCTCTGGTCATCTCCTGTACTGTGTCCGCAGTCTCTGGTCATCTCCTGTACTATGTCCGCAGTCTCTGGTCATCTCCTGTACTGTCCGCAGTCTCTGGTCATCTCCTGTACTGTCCGCAGTCTCTGGTCATCTCCTGTACTGTGTCCGCAGTCTCTGGTCATCTCCTGTACTGTCCGCAGTCTCTGGTCATCTCCTGTACTGTGTCCGCAGTCTCTGGTCATCTCCTGTACTGTGTCCGCAGTCTCTGGTCATCTCCTGTACTGTCCGCAGTCTCTGGTCATCTCCTGTACTGTGTCCGCAGTCTCTGGTCATCTCCTGTACTGTGTCCGCAGTCTCTGGTCATCCCTGTACTGTGTCTGCAGTCTCTGGTCATCTCCTGTACTGTGTCCGCAGTCTCTGGTCATCTCCTGTACTGTGTCCGCAGTCTCTGGTCATCTCCTGTACTGTCCGCAGTCTCTGGTCATCTCCTGTACTATGTCCGCAGTCTCTGGTCATCCCTGTACTGTGTCTGCAGTCTCTGGTCATCCCCTGTACTACTGTCCGCAGTCAGGTCATCTCCTGTACTGTGTCCGCAGTCTCTGGTCATCTCCTGTACTGTCCGCAGTCTCTGGTCATCCCTGTACTGTCCGCAGTCTCTGGTCATCTCCTGTACTGTGTCCGCAGTCTCTGGTCATCCCTGTACTGTGTCCGCAGTCTCTGGTCATCCCTGTACTGTCCGCAGTCTCTGGTCATCCCTGTGCTATGTCCGCAGTCTCTGGTCATCTCCTGTACTGTGTCCGCAGTCTCTGGTCATCCCTGTACTGTGTCCGCAGTCTCTGGTCATCTCCTGTACTGTGTCCGCAGTCTCTGGTCATCCCTGTACTGTGTCCGCAGTCTCTGGTCATCCCTGTACTGTGTCCGCAGTCTCTGGTCATCTCCTGTACTGTCCGCAGTCTCTGGTCATCCCTGTACTGTGTCCGCAGTCTCTGGTCATCCCTGTACTGTCCGCAGTCTCTGGTCATCTCCTGTACTATGTCCGCAGTCTCTGGTCATCTCCTGTACTATGTCCGCAGTCTCTGGTCATCTCCTGTACTATGTCCGCAGTCTCTGGTCATCCCTGTACTGTCCGCAGTCTCTGGTCATCTCCTCTACTATGTCTGCAGTCCATTAGTTCAGAATTTTTTTTTTTTCCTGTTTTCTGCCTCTAAAACCTAGGGTGCGTCTTATGGAGCGAAAAATACGGTAAGTCCATTTTACAATTACAATTGACCCTCATCTGCCATAAATATTTTTTCTTTGCAGTTTTAACCAAGAAACACATATAAATGTTTTGGCTTTTCTTTCTGCAATTCACAATGTGAACCAGAATCCAGACATTTTACCCAATATTACTCTGGGATTTCACATACTAGATTCATGTTTGCATGCTAGTTTGGCTGTAAGGAACGTTCTAAACATTTTATCAGGACCACAGAAGACAGTCCCTAATTACTCATGGTCTGGAGAACCTCCGCTGGTGGGCTTCATTGGAGACCATTATTCAGTGACAACAATTCCAATGGCAGAAATACTTGGCATCTATGGATATACACAGGTGGGTGCTCAGCTTTATATCTTTGCATTCAAGACACAAAGTGCAGCAATAAAGTGGTGCCCGTAGCGGAAAAGAAAGAGCAGAATAGAGGAGGGAAGACACGACTAGGTGAGGAGGAGAAAGAAAGACAGGAAGAGGTTAAGTTAACCACTTGCTCTCCTGAGGATTTACCCCCCTTAATGACCACGCCTCTTTTTGCTACTCGGCGCTGCACTAATTCAACTGATAATTGCGCGGTCATGCAATGCTGCACCCAAACTAAATTTACGTCCTTTTTTTCACACAAAAAGAGCTTTCTTTCGGTGTGATTTGATCACCTGTGCGCTTTTTATTTTTCACGCTATAAACAAAAAAACACCAAAAATTTTGAAGAAAAACAATATTTTTTATTTTCAGCTATAAAAAATATATAGTAAACTCAAAGTTGGTTATAAATTTAGGCCAAAATGTATTCTGCTCCATGTTTTTGGTAAAAAAAATCCCAATAAGTGTATATTGATTGCTTTGTGTGACAGTTATAGCGTCTACAAACTATGGGATAGATACTGCAATTTACGCCATTTTTCTGCTATACAGCGCTGCGCTAGTTTAACGGACAATTGCGCGGTCATGCAATATGGTACATAAATGAAATTTACATCCTTTTTTTCCCCACAAATTGAGCTTTCTTTTGGTGGTATTTGAGCGCCTGTGCGGTTTTTATTTTTTGAGCTATAAAAAAAAAGGCTGACAATTTGAGGAAAAAAAAACAATATTTTGGACTTTTTGCTATAAAACATGTCCAGTAAAAAAAAAAATGCAAAAATCAAATTTAGTCATAAATTTCTGCCAAAATGCATTCTGCGACATGTCTTTACTAAAAAAAAAACCCAATACGTGTAAATTAATTGGTTTACGTGAAAGTTATAGCGTTTACAAATGGCGGGAAAGATACTGGGATTTTTAGGGGTTTTTGTATACTAATAATGGCGGCGATCAGCAAATTATGGCGGCGATCAGGGACTTATGGCAGCGACCAGCGACTTATGGCGGGACTGCAGACATTCTGACATTGGGGGCACTGACTTGGGGTCACTGACATCCCCAAAAACACTAATACAGTGATCAGTGCAAAAAAAAAAAAAACTGACACTGTACTAATGGCACTGGGGAGGAAGGGGTTAACTTTATTTAGCAGGGAAGGGTTATAGGAGTGAGGGGAGTGTTTTACTAGGGGGCGGGGCGGGGGTGTGTACTGGGCGGGACAAGGCTGATCGAGAAAGTGAAACTATTCTTTCTCGATCAGCTTATCCTCGAGCTGACAGAGAGGTGACAGACAGCACAGCTACTGCAGCTGTGCTCTCTGTCACTGTTTGCCGCCGATCGCCGGGACATAGCCGTTAACGAGCGGCTGTGACCCGGCAACTGACATCTGCGGCGGTGATCCACAGGACAAATAGGGCGGCAGCGCGCCTCGCGCGCGCCCCCTATTTGTTTACAAAACACACGTTTTAAAACGTGGTTTTGCCTGTGAGTGCCGCCCTGCCACCGTATATGTACAGTGGCTGGACGGCATGCGGTTAAAGGGTTAAAACAGGAAGGTTACCTGATTGGTGATGGTAGCATGGGGTGGGATCTTTGATGATTTTGGGTAGTGTCTGGGGGTCGGGCTATCCAGTGCTGGTATAGCAGCTGAAGAAGAAACTTCCCTCCCACCCCTCCCCTGGGGTGTTTTGGGTCTTTCCGTGCTTGATTTATTTAGTTTTGTGGGCAGTTGTTGGTCTTTGGAGGTGGAAAATTGTTTTGAGCAAATGTGTATGGTTGGACCCATCGGTGGTATGGTGTGCCTGGGTGCATTCCAGTTAACCAAGGTTTAACTGGGAGGTGGCTGTTCTACACTGCGGAAGGTGTGCTTTTGTCTCCGAGTCCGTGCGTTGCGGCTGGAGGCCTAGTGTGAAAGTTAAGGTTCCGCAGGGGGAGATCAATATTGTTTGGTGCCTTCCTAGACCAACAACTTATCCTGTATGTTTCTGTTGTAAGGAATGTTTTTGTGATTTAAGTTGAATTGTTAATAAAAGGCCATGAAGGCCATTTTTACTCCAACGGTGTTTGGTCTCCTTTATGGGGGAAGGGGTTTCAAGAGAGTTGGGTTGGTATCAGGAGCGGACTGACAACTCATGGGGACCCTGGGCAATAGGGGATCATGGGGCCCCTGTGAACTTGCCCAAACTCCAAAAAGCCTATGAAAAAGGTACCAGGGGCATCTCATAGGGCCCCCTACTGACCCCGGGCCCTCGGGCAGTGCCCGATTTTCCAAGTGGTCAGTTCACCCATGGTTGGTATGGTTTTAGTTGCTTTAGCATGAGCCAGCACATCTCTTCTACACTAGTCATGAAATAATGCATTTTTTGTGCATGGAACTCACCCCTTATATTATTATTACAATTTAAAAGACAACTGTAGCTTTGGCATGTTGTCCTTAATTAAACCCTCCATCCCCCCCGAGTGCAGCCCACCTGGTAAAATATTCAGTTTCCTCCCCTTTCACACAATCTTCACTATGAGGCCCTGCTCAGAACCACACAGCCTTTGCAAGCAAAATGTCTTGCCCAATGTTTCTTCCAACTGCACACGTGTAATGTAACCCTATGTGTTCCTATGGGTGAGCGTACTCTTCTGCATGGCCTTCATGAGTGTGGTCCATACATACCCTGAGCTACACTCGGGAATACCACCAGGGGGGTTAACCTACGTTTTCCAGCAGTCAGTTTCCATCGTTCAGAAGTGTCCCGTGTACATGGAGCCTTAGGAATGCTTCCTAATATTGGTGCAGACATTGAAAATAATGATTGTTTTTCTTTTCCGTCTTGAAGATCAGTTATGGAGCTACGGACTATTCTCTGACCAATAGACTTCTCTATCCTCATGTCTTCCGGACAGTTCAGAATGACCATGTCCATTATATGGCTGTGATTAAACTGTTGAAACATTTTAACTGGACCTGGGTTGGAATATTTGCATCACAAGATGATACCGGAGACAAAGACAAGGAGATATTAATGAAATACATGAAACGTTTTGGTATTTGTGTGGAATATACATTATCATTTGGGACTTCTATTTATAGTGATAACATTTCTGCAGACCACACGATAACAAATGCTCGTTCGGTTATTAGACGCTCCACTGCTAACGTCATTGTATTATGTGGGTCTTATATCAGTCAGAACATATTTAATAGTTATTTTGAAGATAATAATGTTACCTCCGATAAAACATTTATTGTTCCTCCTCTGAGGTCTCTCAGCCTTTCTGGATGTGATCCAATGGTTGCCTTTAATGGTAGCTTGGCTGTGGAACTGTACCCTTTACTCCTTCCAAATCACGAACGTTTTTTTGATGGAATTGACAAGCTGTATACCTTAAGTGAACTAACAAATTCTTTATATTATTTATCAATTGCCAAGTGTATGTCTGCCAACAAAGAAAGTAGAAATCGTACCTTACTATGTCAATATGATGATAATGGTACTATATATTATGAAATGCACACAAATGTATTTAATTTTGTTCATCAAGGACTCTCTCCAAGAATTTATTATGCGGTGGAAGCTATGGCCCAAGCGCTGCACGACATGAACCTGTTCTATAAAGGGAACCTGTACAATGAGCGACATCATTTGTATCACCATAAGGTAGGGTGCACAATCTTCATAGGGATTTCTGGAAATGTATAAAATGATACTGTACTGGAATTCGATGATCTTTTTGAAATTTGAAACTGTAAAATTTTAAAAATTCATCCCCTCTACAAAAAAGAAAACAAAAATCATTAGTAGCATCCATAAAAGAAATTAGCCAGCAACCCAATGCATTCCAAATTCTTGATTAGGCAACATTTAAATGCGGAACAAAATAGAGAACATGTTTCAGCCGTGACGGCCTTCTTTAACCTCTTCCAGTCCGGACACTTTCACCCCCTTCCAGTCCGGACACTTTTACCCCCTTCCAGTCCGGACACTTTCACCCCCTTCCAGTCTGGACACTTTCACCCTCTTCCAGTCCGGACACTTTCACCCCCCCCCTTCCAGTCCGGACACTTTCACCCCACCCCCCTTCCAGTCCGGACACTCCGGACACTTTCCCCCCCTTCCCAGTCCGGACACTTCCCCCCTTTCCAGTCCGGACACTTTCCCCCCCTTCCAGTCCGGACACTTTCACCCCCTTCCAGTCCGGACACTTTCACCCCCTTCCAGTCCGGACACTTTCCCCCCCTTCCCTTCCGGACACTTTCCCCCCCTTCCAGTCCGGACACTTTCCCCCCCTTCCCTTCCGGACACTTTCCCCCCCTTCCCTTCCGGACACTTTCCCCCCCTTTCCTTCCGGACACTTTCACCCCCCTTCCAGTCCAGACACTTTCCCCCCCTTCCCTTCCGGACACTTTCCCCCCCTTCCCGTCCGACACTTTCCCCCCCTTCCCGTCCGGACACTTTCCCCCCCTTCCCGTCCGGACACTTTCACCTCCTTCCCGTCCGGACACTTTCCCCCCTTCCCGTCCGGACACTTTCCCCCCTTCCCGTCTGGACACTTTCCCCCCCTTCCCGTCTGGACACTTTCCCCCCCTTCCCGTCTGGACACTTTCCCCCCCTTCCCGTCTGGACACTTTCCCCCCTTCCCGTCCGGACACTTTCCCCCTTCCAGTCTGGACACTTTCCCCCCTTCCCGTCCGGACACTTTCCCCCCTTCCAGTCCGGACACTTTTCCCCTCTTCCAGTCCGGACACTTTTCCCCCCCTTCCAGTCCGGACACTTTCACCCCCTTCCAGTCCGGACACTTTCACCCCCTTGCAATCCGGACACTTTCACCCCCTTGCAGTCCGGACACTTTCACCCCCTCCCAGTCCGGACACTTTCACCCCCTTGCAGTCCGGACACTTTCACCCCCTTCCAGTCCGGACACTTTCACCCCCTTCCAGTCCGGACACTTTCACCCCCTTCCTGTCCAGGCCAATGTTCAGCTTTCAGCGCTATCACACTTTGAATGACAAATAATAAATGAATAAAATGTGTCGCACTTCACCTATTTAGCTTGTAATAAATTTGATAACACCATATAAATGTATCTATTATATATTATATATTATAGTGTGCCATCTATATCAATATTAACGTGCTAAAAATACCAAAATATTAATGTGCAATACTAATAAATTATAAATAAAAAGTGCTATAATGCTAGAATTCATATAATCCGACAAGCATTTATTACAAGCTGAATAGGTGGAGCGCGACGCGTTTTATTCATTTATTATTAATCAATTTGACGCAGTTTATGGGTATGTGTATTAGTGTTGATGCAACACCAAATTACGTATTAGTTTTTTTCAATTATTTTGTTTAAATACCACTTAGTAGTTCACACATTTTTTTTATATAAACACTTTGAATGACAATTGCGCGGCCATGCAACACTGTACCCATATGAATTTTTTTAGCATTTTTTGGAGACAGATAAAACTTTATTTTGGTGGTATTTATTCACCACTGGGATTTTTTATTTGTTTTCTATATAAATGAAAAAAAATCCAAACATTTTGAAAAAAAAAGTGTTTTTCTTATAAAATTTTGCAAATAAATAATCTTTCTTCATAAATTTTGGCCAAAATGTATTCATCTATCTTTTTAGTAAAAAAAAAAAAAAAAACCCAAATTAGTTCTACTAGCATCCTAGTTTGACCCTCCCTCCTCTCCATCAGTGCTGGGGGTCACACTAGCTCAGTGATGGAGAAAAACCGAGGGAGAAGAGAAACACCAGAATACTAGTCAGTACCAGTGTGCAAAAGTGTACTTTCTTTAGAGGAATAAATCACCTGTAATGTGCTGCGTTATATACAACTATAGAATAGTTTTTCACAGTTTAGAATGGAGGAGTGCCTCGGGACTGTCCATCATTTTAAAGGGTGCCTCGGACTGTCCATCCATGCCTCGGGACTTTAAAAGGGTGCCTTGGGACTGTCCATAATGTTAAAGGGTGCCTCGGGGCTGGCCATCATTTTAAAGGGTGCCTTGGGACTGTCCATCATTTTAAAGGGTGCCTCGGGACTGTCCATGGCCATGTCCATAATTTTAAAAGGGTGCCTCGGGGCTGGCCATAATGTTTAAGGGTGCATCAGGGGCTGGCCATCATGTTAAAGGGTGGGGACTGGCCATAATATTAAAGGGTGCCTCGTGACTGGCCATAATTTTAAAGGGTGCCTCGGGGCTGGCCATAATGTTTAAAGGTGCCTCGGGGCTGGCCATAATTTTAAAGGGTGCCTCGGGGCTGGGTAATTTTTTAAAGGGTGCCTCGGGGCTGGCTATCATAATTTTAAAGGGTGCCTCGGGACTGGCTATCATTTTAAAGGGTGCCTCGGGACTGTCCATAATATTTAACGGTGCCTCGGGGCTGGCCATAATTTTAAAGGGTGCCTCGGGACTGGCCGTAATTTTAAAGGGTGCCTCGGGACTGGCCATAATTTTAAAGGGTGCCTCGGCACTGCCCGAGATATCATTTTAAAGGGTGCCTCAAGAAGGGTGCTGGGACATAATAATTTTTAAGGGTGCCTCGGGACTGGCCATAATTTTTAAGGGTGCCTCAGGACTGGCCATCATTTCTAAAGGGTGCCTCGGGGCTGGCCATCAATTTTAAAGGGTGCCTCAAGGGACTGTCCATCCATTTTTGAAGGGTGCCTCGGGACTGTCCATCATTTTAAAGGGTGCCTCGGGACTGTCCATAATTTTAAAGGGTGCCTCGGGACTGGCCATAATTTTAAAGGGTGCCTCGGGGGCTGGCCATAATTTTAAAGGGTGCCTCGGGACTTCCCATAATTTTAAAGGTAGTCCATAATTTTAAAGTGTGCCTCGGGTCTTGCCATAATTTTAAAGGATGCATCAAGACTGTCCAAAATTTTAAAGGGTGCCTCGGGTCTCTCCATAATTTTAAAGGGTGCCTCGAGACTGGCCATAAATTTAAAGGGTGCGATGTGCAGAATCGGATCTCATGGGTGTGAATACCCATGAGATCCGATTCTAGTGCGGACCAAAAAAGGGTCTTGCACCTTTTTTGGTCCGGCTGTGGTGCGATTTGAGCCATACAAAATGTATGGTTCAAATCGCACTGCACAGAATTCACATGTGATTTACACAGTAATGCGGTGCGGTTTCTGTGGGAATCACATGCAATATGCTGCACCGCATATAGGTGAACCCAGACTTAGTGTTTAGCAGAGCGTCCTTTAGATTCATAATTTTTTGGGCATGTATTAACAATTTTGGCACCGTATATTATTTACTATTTGTGATTGCGCAGATTGCTACACCTTGATATGATAGCAGATTTATTATTCCATATATACAAATCTCGTAAAATTAAATAAAAGCAACATGGAACTGGTTCGTAATACATATACAGGTACATAGATAAAAAGAATAATACAGCCATACATGATTATTTAGTATCATGCACATCCAATTGTTGACATATGAATCTTTAGCAAGCCGCTCCCCTTTCCTCCTGTGTGGCCATATATCATGGTCACTGGGAGGGATTCACTGTTGTTTCATTGGGACTGGTGATAGATCCAACATGTTCTCCCTGCATGGTGTTTGGGACACTATTAACCATACCCTGGATTACAGCTTCGATATGCATACCAATCACGCTATCTGTCCTTTATATTTTCTTGATTATATTTTATTTTCTATACTTTTTCTGGTTCCTTTCTTTCATTAGATGGGTCATATCTGGGGCTCAATCCTATTTTGGTTTATTTATTTTCTTTCTTTATAGATTCAGTTTTGGCATCCAACATAACCAAGACACTGGTTTACATTTCCTTTCACCAATTTGCTGTTACTCTACTGGATATGTCCTACCTACACTGCTCAAAAAAGTAAAAGGACACTTTGTAATCCGAGTCTAGCATCAAGTCAATGAAACTCCTGGGATATTGATCTGTTCAGTTAAGTAGCAGAGGGGGTTGTTCATCAGTTTCAGCTGCTTTGGGGTTCATGAAATTTACGACAGGTACACTAGATGGGCAACAATGGGATGACCCCCAAAACAGGAATGGTTTTACAGGTGGAGGCCACTGACATTTTTTACCCTACTCATCTTTTCTGACTGTTTTTTACTAGTTTTGCATTTGGCTAGGGTCAGTGTGACTACTGATAGCATGAGGCCATACCTGGACCTTACAGAGGTTGCACAGGCAATCCAACTCCTCCAGGATGGCACATCAATACGTGCCATTGCCAGAAGGTTTGCTGTGTCTCCCAGCACAGTCTTAAGAGCATGGAGGAGATTCCAGGAGACAGGCAGTTACTCTAGGAGAGCTGGACAGGGCCGTAGAAGGTCCTTAACCCATCAGCAGGACCGGTATCTGCTCCTTTGTGCAAGAAGGACCAGGATGAGCACTGCCAGAGCCCTACAAAATGACCTCCAGCAGGCCACTGGTGTGAATGTCTCTGACCAAACAATCAGAAACAGACTTCATGAGGGTGGCCTGAGGGCCCAATGTCCTCTAGTGGGCCCTGTGCTCACTGCCCGGCACCATAGAGCTCCATTGGTATTTGCCATTGAACACCAGAATTGGCAGGTCCACCATTGGTGCCCTGTGCTTTTCACAGATGAGAGCAGGTTCACCCTGAGCACATTTGAGAGGCATGAAAAGCCATGGAGAACGTTCTGCTGTCTGTAACAAAGTTTGGCATAACTGTTTTGGTGGTGGGTCAGTGATGGTCTGGGGAGGCATATCCATGGAGGGACGCACAGACCTCCTACAGGCTAGACAATGGCACCCTGACTGCCATTAGGTATCGGGATGAAATCCTTGGACCTGTTGTCAGACCCAACGTCAGTGCAGTGGGTCCTGGGTTCCTCCTGGTGAGAGTATGCAGGTTATTCCTGGAGGATGAAGCTCACCTGACCTAAATCCAATAGAATACCTCTGGGATATCATGTTTCGATGCTGCCAGGTTGCACCTCAGACTGTTCAGGAGCTCAGTGATGCCCTGGTCCAGATCTGGGAGGAAATCTCCCAGGACACCATCCATCGTCTCATTAGAAGCATGCCCCAATGTTGTCAGGCATGCATACAAGCATGTGGGGGCCATACAGACTACTGAGGACCATTTTGAGCTGCTGCAATGAAATTTCAGCATAACAGACTAGCCTGCTGTAGAATTTTTTTCACTTTGATTTTTGGGGGGTCTTTGAATTCAGTCCTCTGTAGGTTGATCGTTTTCATTTCCATCAAACGATGGGGCGTTCTTACGTTCCTAACACATTACCCCGTCCATGTCAGTATAGAGATCCAGCAGGAGATTTGTCCCCATTGAGGTCTGATGGGTTTTCAAAGTGTTCCTTTAATTTGTTTGAGCACTGTATATTGGTTCTGTTTTTATTTGTATTGTCTTTTCATGGACTTAGTTTTCTTTTCACCCCTTTTTCTTTGACTTCTTAGCTCTATACAACATTCACAGTGTGTATACTAATTTTATATTTATACACTTATTACACAGTAATGACAATTCATATTTTTCACGGATATAACTTATATCTGCTGTGGTGGTATTAAGCATCATACAATGGACTTACATCTATCCAATTTTTGGTCTGCCTTTCCTTGGTCCCTTTTGAACTTTGCAGGTCCTACTGCCACAGCTCCCGGGGCAGACGTCCCCGACGACCTAATATCCCATCTGTTGTCACTTCCTTTTTCAGCTGGTCTGGAAGTATTAGGGTTATCTATTTGAATTGTAGCAAGTTTTGTTTGATGATATCTTACCATCTCTATTTATTGATTTCTTGTAGGCAGCTATTCTGTGTTTGCTCCTGAGGAAGTGGACTGAGATCCACAAAACACATCGAGATTTTTGGATACAATGTGCTATAGACTCATGTGTCAACAACTGGATTATATGTGCAAGAACAGAATAATCATGTATTATTGTATTCTGCAATTTTTATCTATGTATATGTATTATTACAAACCAGCTCCATGATGATTTTTTTTAATTTTAAGAGATTTGTATATATGGAATAATAAATCCGCTATCATATGGAATAATCACGATACTATTTGAGTGTGTTGTACCTGTCAGCACCTGTGGTAGTGAGCCCTTGTAAATGGTCAACCTGGGGTTCCCCAGGGTGCGGAGTCTAAGCCCCAGCCTGCTTCTTCACCAGAGCCCCTGATGGTGGGGATGGACTTGCATCAAGCTGGGACCAGGTTGTGGCCCCCAGGTACGCCCAGCTGAGGATGAGGAGACCGCTCGCTGGAGCAGAGTACAATGGGAGGAGACAAACAGAAATCCGATAGACTAGCCGAGGTCAGGACAGGCAGAAAACAAGCACAGTCAGAGAATGAAGCTGGGGTCAGTACACAAGTAGTCAATGCAGGATACAAACAATAGCAACACACAGGAGCTCAGACAACTAGGAAGTTTCTCAGGCAAAGTGGCCAAGACTGAGCATGTCTTATATAGACAGGCAAACAAGGAGGCGGGCCAGGAAGTGATGGAAGGGAAGGAAATAAAACCCAGAGGACAGCAGATGACGCCCATAGGTGAGCACAGACAAACACACATGTGAAAGGGATCAGGAACAGCACTGCAGCAAGGAGGTCAGAATACACAAATAAGAAAACTGCAGGTTAACTTGTGACAGTACCTCATTTAAAGTCCCATAAATTTGCTTTGGATATATGGATTCAGGGATGGAGGCATTTCACGATACCTCAGATCACAATCTTTAAACTGTATTATTAATAGAAACAATTTATAGGGAAAATGACCTGTGTCCTTGGTTACCCTCTATTCACAATTGGACCATCCTCGGAAAGATACAAATCTGTGGTAGTTGAGATGATCCTTTGGCTTCACTATTAGTGAAATCTTTGAGTTCTTAACTAGCTGTAGTTGTCACAACTCGGTGAGTTCCCTTGCAGTGAAGCTGAGGAATTAGCTTGACTGGTCTAGAATTTGTATCCTGCAGGGGGGGGGGGGGGGGGGTATTTTCTGTATCCTCTGACTTCTGGGAACAAACCACAAAATTTGAGTCAATAGCAACTGTTTAATATAAAAAGGAGCTCTGGCTGCTATCCTCATATCCTCACCAGCTGCAGACTCACCCAGTCACCAGGTCATCAATGCTTGTCTTCTGCTCCAAAGGACACAAAGGGGTTTATTTACTAAAGCTGAAGAGTCCAAAATCAGACTCCCTTCTGCATAGAAACCAATCAGCTTCCAGGTTTCATTGCCAAAGCTTCATTGAACAAGCTGAGGTTAGAAGCTGATTGGTTTCTATGCAGAAGGGAGTCTGATTTTGGACTCTCCAGCTTTAGTAAATAAACCCCCAAGTGTCATTTACCTGATTCCCTGTGAGGTGGTGGTGTCAGGGCTGCACCAAGTGCCAGGGTTCAAAGACGAAATATGCAGGAGTCACCACATCGTTACATAGAAACCCTCTTTTCAGCATTTATGATCCATCTGCCACTAGTGGAAGACAACCAGGGATATCACCAGGTCAAAGACACTCGGAAAAAAGATATTTTTTTTGTAGGGCATCAGGGGGAAGGATATTGAGCCCAGAACATGACTTATAGATTCCACTGTGACTGACTGATTTCCTTTTTTCTTTTTAAATTCTATAATCACGATGAAGTTGTATCACCAAATAAAAGAAATTAAATATGCATTTGGTTTTAATGAGCCAGCGCCATTCTTTAATAAATACGGAGAATTTGTTTACTACTATAAAATAACAAATTGGATACATGAGGATGATGGGGCTGTGATTTATAATGATGTGGGGAACTTTACATCCTGGGCGCCAGAAGATCAGCAATTGCAAATGAATACTAAAGCCATAATCTGGAAGTCTGGTAATGAGGTAGGTACTTAACCCCTTGCCCTCCAGAGGTTTTACCCCCCCCTTCCTGACCAGGCCATTTTTTGCAAAATGGCGCTGCATTACTTT